TTTCTCTGCATTCATCACTTTATCTCAAATCATGAATTGTATAGAATTAAACTATATTCCAACATTTTTATCAATAATTGCTCATGTTTTGACAATAAAATAAGTATGTAAAAACGTACTTATCAGGCATCCCACGTGGAGTGCATACCAAAGTCCACTAAATCCGAAGCACCAAGTTGTTTCATGGAATAGACCTGCAAAAGCCCCTTACTGAAGCTGAATCTGATGCTCAATTAAGATGGGCGATGTCCCACATTTGAAGATCTTGAATTTATGCAATGCTTTTGAAATGTTTGTTGAACTTTTGTAATGAGTAAAAAGGTCAAAGTTTTGTCAGTATAGGCTCTAGGGTGGCTGCCTCCTTTTTTGGGGACATTTAATGCGCTACAGGCTAGTGGAGTCAAAATTGATACCTAAATAAGATGTCTTGGTTAAGGAGATGATTCTACATGTCCCTTTATCCAATGGTCACCATTTCACATATAACACTATAAATATCCCCCATTTGTGTCATTTTGGGGGTAATGCTAATATATCAACTACAAGCTATACATTCTCTCCTTTTTAGTTTGATCTTCTATTGTTGAAGTTAGATGTTTGATATTGATCTTTAGTTTGGTTTTTCTTTATCGTTTCTTATCGTTCAATTTCACTTATATATCTTGTCGACGTCTGAACATATTTGTCATGTGTTATAAAGCTTCTTCCACGTTCAAATCCAAGGTATTATTGATTGATAATCCGTCTACACATGTTAGAATTCGCTTGCAAGAACGTGAGTGTACTCAGTATCTGTTGTCCATGTCGGCGGTACAAAAAAGGGTCAACAAATAAATTTCTTTATAGCTTCGTCTTTAATTTTAAGCAAATACGCATAACAGTATTTTATGCTATCGTTGACAAAAGTAATGAAGTAAATCCGTCTACACATGTCAGAATTAGCTTGCGAGAACGTGAGTGTGCTCAGTATCTATTGTCCACGTCAATGGTACGAAAAAAGGTCAACAAATAATTTTCTTCATAGCTTTGTCTTTACTTTTAAGCAAATACACATAACAGTATTTTGTGCTATCGTCTTTACTTGTTGACACTTCTTGTTTGTACAAATTTTAAATCACATATGTCGTGATTTAACATACCATCGGAAGTATAACCCTTTCCGACAAACATTCTACTCTTAGACAAAATGACTTTGTTTGACTCAAACACAACAGGAAATCATGTTTATTCAAAAGCGCCCTGGACACTAGGTTTTTGTGAATTTTCGATACATACAACACATTGTTAAGAATCAGCTCTTTTCCAGAAGTCATCTTCAGAACCATCTTTTCTTGACCCTTGATTTCTGATGTTGTTGAATTTTCCATGAAAAACTCTATCCATTATCAATTACTTCGAACACAGTAAACAACTCTTTATCAGAGCACATGCCCCGTAGCTCCGGCATCAATCCACCACCCTTTTGAGTTTGGACCCACCATATTTACTTCAGAAATGATGGTTGTCAGATTCATCTCCGACACTTCATGTGTCATGTCAGCCACATTAGCTTCTTTCTTATAGTTCTTCTTCGACAATCTGCATTCCGAAGACTCAAGGCCTACTTTGACACAGTTAAAGAATTTTTCTTGAAACTTCTTCTTGGAAATGACATATTTTGGTCCCAGCTTAGTCCCTTTGCCTCCTAATGGCTCGGACTTAATTTTATAGGTCTTAGAACTTTGACCATGTTTCACAACATTGACTTTAGTTACACCAGGATTGAACCCCTTTTTTCTGAACTTCGGTTGTCTTATTCGATTCGATGCCTAACTATCAATTCTTCAATGTTCATTTCATTTCGCTTGTGCTTTAAGTAATTTTTGAACTCTTTCCACGCCGAAGACAATTTTTCAATAATTGCAACCACTTGGAAAGTTTCACTCAAGTTCATCCCTTCAACATGAATCTCGTGAAAAATCAATTGGAGTTCTTGCATTGACTTATTATAGTTTTGGAGTTCACCATTTTATAATCCAAGAATTTGCTAACGATAAATTTCTTAGTTCCGGCATTCTCAATCTTATATTTTCGGTCAAAAGACTCCCACGGCTCCTTAACAGTTTTCATCGTACTATACACATTGTATAGTGAATCTGCCAAATCATTCATGGCATAATTGTGGCTTAGGAAATCATAGTGTTTTCAAGCATCAAGCGTGCTAATAGCTTGGACATCCCCTTCATCCTCATTGAGTTTCAAAGCTATCTCAGTCAAGAACCTCGTAAGATTTAAAGTAGTCAGATAAAACAATATCTTCTACTGCCACCTTTTGAAATTCGAACTACTGAATTTCTCTGATTTTTTCCCATAATTAATCGGAATAGTTACAGTATGGCTAGTTCTTAGAGCCACAGTTTGGCTCACAACATGACTTAACAATTTAGCCACATTTTGAGTCACAACTGAACTTAGCTCTTCAGCCACAGTTGAGCCTACAACATCATTTCCAGTAGCCACAGTTTGTGTCACATCCATGTTTGTTGATTCGGTTGTCATTTTTGAAAAATCAAGCAGTTGAGTTAATTTCAAAATTTTGCTATTTTTTTAAACTTTAAAATTATGCTATTTTCACAATTACGAAAATATGCTAATTTTCACTTGAAAAAATTTTGTTTTTCCAAAATCGTTTGAAAATTATGCTATTTTTTCAATATCGAAAATATGCTAATTTTCTAAAAAAAGGCATGCTTATTTTCGAACAAGCTATTTTTTCCTGATAATTAAATCACTCTACAGATAAATTTCAAAGAAAACTAGAGGGGTTTAAGCCCAGCCTCAACAAGTCTAGCCTTCTTCAAAAATATTCAGTTCTCAAGTTGGTTGGAGGGATCACAAATGGCCCCACTAAAACCCATTGTCCTAGATAGAACTTCTCTATATAATAACTTCCAGTTTCTGAGATTTTATAAATTTTTGTGGAGAATATTATTTTCATAATAATATTTCTTTAAAATCGACACCTCTTTCGTCCTTTGAGTCGAATCTGTTTTAAGATGTTAGGAAAAATTAAAAAAGAAAATTAGAAATAATGTTGGAGTTGTATAAATAAAATAATAAAAAGAAATCAATAAATGGAGTAACAATAAAATTAGAGGAAATAGTTGTTGAGGTAGTAGCGGTATTGAAAGGAACGGAAGCCTGTGTTGCACATAATTTCCTTAAAACAGATTCGTGCCCTACTATGGTCCAATAGGACTGATGGCTTCCCTCTCCCACGTTACAAATGTTGAAAGTAGTGATGAGATATCTCATCACTACTTTAGGTGAATTAAGAATGCTCACAATTTTATCACCAAACTAGAATAAAGAACTAAACTATCTAAGTTACTAAAAACTAAACTCTTGAAACAAAGAGAAGAGAGAAAATTAGAGCGAAGAAAAACTCTCAAAATTTTTTGGTACGAAGAATAAGGAGAACACCTCCTTGTATAGTACTAGGATAAGGGATGTTTCAAATTCTTAGTTAATTTTGTATTTAACACAAATAATGTTACAATAGCCATGAATGAATTTGTAACAACAAAGTGATTATGAAATTGAACCAATTCAAATACAAATTAACTATATAATTTATAATCGGATCTTTAAAAATCGCTAACGTCACACTATTGTGTTTAGGGGGTCAAAGAACCGTTTCTAAAAAAATCAAGTAAAAAGAAACAAATTTGACGGCGGCGGTGGTGATAATTGCCGGTAAGGGGACGTGAGTGGGAACTCAACCGACGGCATTTTGATTTGCACTTAATTTAAGGTAGTGCTTTTGAATATATAAAAGGTAAAATTGGAATTTGAAAACATATACAGTAGGAGTCGTAATTTCCATTTAAAACAAAGTTATATAGGTTTTAACAAAAGTTTCATATTGTTTCAAGGCTTTTTTGCCTTGTTCCTAAAAAATAAAGAAGATATTAATTTCATGTTTTGTTCCAAGGCAGAATTAATGCAATTAACAAATTCTGCCTTCATTAATGCAGAATTTAATTAAATTCTCGGTTGATTAAGGCACGATTAAATTTATCCTTGAATCAAAGTAGAAGATGGACAGGTAAATAACATCTGTTTTTTTCTTTTTTTTCTAATTTTTTTATATTTTTTCAATTTTATGTTAAAAAATATTTTTAACAATAAATTTGGTAACACATTGTGTGACTGTAATATTATGTTGCACACATTTCACCACATGTTATCAACAATGCCGCCATAACTTGTAACACAATGTGTTACACACTTTTGCTGCTTATTTTCATGGTCAATACGATCATTCATCCCACTACTTGTACATTCATTGTTACACCCATTGTCATCATCATCACTGCTTGCAAGATTTGTTGTTACATTACTATCGATGGATGTCACTATTGCATCACTATCTACAATATGCTATTCATTGTCACGTCATTGTCATTGTCGTCACCACTAATAGCATTCATTGTTACATCACTATTGACGTCACTGTTGTTGCACCCGCCCGTAAAATACTATGTTACACACCCACCAAAAATACATTACTACTAATTATATATAGATGTGTAATCATTGACAGATGTTATTGCCGCCAACAACAAACTTCCAAAGCACACACATTAGAACAATTGTCGCCATCCCCACCTTTCTCTTACACGGGTATGGAAGAGTGAAAACACCACGGAAGAAAAACTGAAGAGGAACCACATCACAAGCAAAATAATAATATGATTATTCTACTTGTACATTAAAGATTACATTAGGAGTTACATAACGTAAATTATGTAATCGTTGATATAATTGTTGTGCAGTCCATAATAATAATAATAATAAAAAAGTGTGAATGAATAATTGATTTAATAAATTTCATTTTGTAATAAAAAACTTGTTTTATTTTTACTTAAAATGAAATTAAGTTGGTAATTAGTTGGAAAGGAGCATAATCTACAATTATATAAAGAAAAAATTGAGGCCATTTATGTCTATGTTATGATATGATGGAGCAACTTCAAAGTATGGGCTTCCCTGAAGAAATGGCTGCTCAAGCTTTGGCGGCCAACGGCGGTGATCTCATCAAAGCCACCGATTGGCTTCTTACTCAAGACAAACCCATTTCTACTCCTCACTCAAACCTCCCTCATATCGCCCATGCCCAACCCAAAATCAACCGTTTCTTCCATTTTCAATCCAAACCCCCCTCCTCCATCAAAGATTTGAACAATACTCACCAAGAAGAAGAAGAAGATGATGGACAGTCACAGTCCTTAATTCCAAGGAAAAAGCGCCAAAAATATGAAGAGAAGATTTCCAATTCTTCACCGGAAGTGGCAGCGCCACCACCAAATGTTCCGTTGTCGGAGAGAATGAGGCCACGGGTCCTCGATGAAGTTGTTGGGCAGGATCATCTTCTGGTTAAAGACTCCCTCCTCCGTTCAGCCATCGATTGCGGTCGTCTCCCTTCCATCGTCCTGTGGGGCCCACCCGGCACGGGTAAGACCTCTATTGCCAAGGCCATAGTGAATTCCTGCACTACGGGATCTTTCTATCAATTTGTCTCTTTATCTGCCACCACTTGTGGCGTCAAGGATGTGAGAGCTGCAGTAGATGATGCAAGAAAATTGAAGCAAAAATGTAATAAAGGGACTCTTCTTTTTATTGATGAGGTTCATAGATTTAACAAGGCCCAACAGGATTCATTTCTCCCTGTGATTGAAGATGGAAGCATTGTTTTCATTGGTGCCACCACTGAGAATCCGTCATTTCATTTGGTTACGCCCTTATTGTCACGTTGCAGAGTTTTAACCCTTAATCCATTGAAGCCTGATCATGTTGTTATACTTTTGAAGCGAGCGATTTCCGATATGGATAGAGGAGTAGTTAGGAGCCTATACAAAGAGATGAAAATTCAAGTAAATGATAATGCCATTGAGTTTTTGTCATTGCATTGTGATGGAGATGCAAGAGGGGCACTAAATGCCCTGGAAATTTCAGCTACGACTGCAGCTGCTCGATTAACTATGCCAAGAACATCAAATGGAGATGGTGATTCACTTGTCGTGATCACATTAGATGATGTCAAAGAAGCATTTCAATGCAAGCATTTGCTTTACGATAGAGCAGGGGAGGAACATTATAATCTCATTAGTGCACTCCACAAGTCTATGAGGGGAAGTGATGCTAATGCTGCAATTTATTGGCTTGCAAGGATGTTGGAAGGAGGCGAAGAGACCCTTTATATTGCGCGTCGGCTAGTCAGGTTTGCTAGTGAGGATGTAGGATTGGCTGACCCTCAAGCTCTAACTCAGGCCGTAGCTTGTTATCAAGCTTGTCATTTTATCGGGATGCCTGAGTGCAATGTGATCCTTGCACAATGCGTAGCATACTTGGCTTTGGCTCCCAAGTCTGTTTCCGTTTATAAAGCACTTGGGCTTGCACAGAAAGTAGTGAAAGAATCAATTGGACAGAATGAGGGGGTTCCTCTTCACTTGAGGAATGCACCAACTAAACTAATGAAGGATCTTGGGTATGGAAAGGGATATATTTATCCTCCGGACAATCCCGACTCATCGTCACAGACGTATTTGCCTCCTTCACTCATCGGTTACAAGTTCCTCGACTGGCCAGAAACTGAGAGATAGGCCTTGTTCTTGTCTCTTCACAATATTTACAAGGTTTTTTTGTGGAAAAAGTATCAATTGATTTTGCCAATATAGTAAAAGAGAACCTGAAGATCAACAGAACCAACTTTGGTTATGGTTTGCCTCTTTTGTATTTAGCATAATGTAACTTTCTTGTTAGTACTAATGGACCTATATTACCTCTAGCGTGCCATTATGTTGTCTGAAAGGGGAAAAAACGTGGGGTTGGTATTTCAGATAATTGTGTTTTGAGAATATTGGCTTTGTTTCAGGTTGGTTTAGTTTATATTAGAACCGAGATAATGTGAATATTTTATTAAATCAGTTATAATGGTGGGTCCGTGGTATCACTGTTTCGGATCCTTGTCAGCTTGGTACTCGTGATATGCACTTCTTTAGTTCAAAACAGTCAAATGACTTTCATGAGACTCACCAAAATGATTCAAACTTAACATCTTAGAGGTGATTGACGGATAGCTCAATCGATCAGTTTCTTCTACTCTCCCTACTATTCACCACGACAGAGTAGACGTGGGTGGTGAGGACTGACTAAATATTCTAGGAATGCAAAGTTGGTTCATTTGAATAAAAACTGAAGTCTCCTACACTATTTCAATTTCTTCAATGAGCCCCCGTCACCATTCACGTGCTGCTCTTTTCGACTTATCAAGCCCCACAACTTTAATGAGCTAACAGCAAGCAATGAGCCTCGTTCATCTAGGTCTGTAGATTTCAGTGTCTTTTAGGGAATTTCAGGGCTTGATATTCACGGTTCTTTCTGGATTGGGTCATGCTCCCAAAACGAGAGCTTAGCTAAAGCCACTGCATAAAAATCGTGTTGTTTTCGTTCAAGTATTCTATGGATCGACCATCTTAAATAAAAACAGCCCCAATCCTGACTACTACGACCCCACCATCATATTATCGCTTTCAACTTCAAAGACAGTCAAAATTTGGTACTGCTAATACATGGCAGCCAACACCAAGGGTAACTAAAAATTACAGAATCTGACATGAAGAAATGCCAGCCAGCACTGAGAAGATGGTAAATTAGTAACACTACTTGTTCATCTAGAAATGTAAGGTAGAAACCTGTACACGTATTTTGGAGGGGAAAATCCTCTGACATGAAAAGAGAGAAGAAAATACAAAAATAAGTTGAAAAAAAAAGAAGAAAAAAAATACAAGTTTGAGATGTTATATTTACAAATAAAAAAACTAGAAAGATCTAGATAGTTGTGAAGTATAAGGCCACAAAATCAAAGAATCATTTTTCTAGCCATGACGGCGCACCGTCCAAATAGAGAACTAAGTTTCTGATCTATAGACTTCACTATCAAGCTCCACTCATAATGTATGAATGAAAAAATTGTGCCTAGTGATAATAAATGAAACTCCTGCATACTTTCTATGCAACTTTACACCATCGCAATGAGGTCCATTAACTAAGCAGTTCACGACTATAACTTACCTGCCTCACTATGAAACAGTATTTCAAATTCTCGGCCCTACTATATATACAAAAGGGTCATCAAGAATCGGCCGCAACCTCTGCAGCACGCTGCCTCATCATTTCCATTACAGCAGCCCTTCGTCGTGAATCAGACTGCTGCTGCATCCTTCTTGTGTGTTCCCTCAAATCTCTGCATCAAAGTTGAGAGATGTATAAATACAATCTCAACAATAAAAATTATATGGAGTGGAAGTGAAAGAGTGATGAAAACCTGCAACGTGGTACATTGCACTGAGATTCTTTGCATGCTCGAGAATGAAGCTGAAGGAGAGACCACATTTTCTTACAGAGAGCACAACCTCCAGAAACACGTACTTTGCACACAAAACCATGGCGGAAAAGTCCCTTCACCTTGCGACAGTTTGGATATTGGCAAAGTGGAGAATGGCATTGAGAAGCATGTACCAGGAGGTCAAGCATTTTCCTAAGCTGCAAGTCCAAAGAAAATGAATTCTCTTCAGTTTGTGTTTCAACAAGTCATTGCTTCCATTCCATGTTACATTAAATCATGCTTAGCCAAAAAGAAATTATTCTGAGTGCAAGAAGACCATAAGAATGTAAAACCAGCAGCACGATGTGAAAAGCCAGAAAACCACACAAAAAAGTTTAAAATACCTGCATAACTCGTAATTGCCTTGCTTCTGTGTTTTGTTCATCACGTTCTTTAGACTGATTATTAGTCAATTTATGAGGGTGATCAACTCCCCCATCTTTTTGATAACAAGAATTGCATACATCATACTCCGGGCATGTCTCACAGTGCCAACCTTGACCAGCTTCAATATCTAGGTGACATACATAGCACGTTGTTACAAAAGCTGGAGCAGTAGGATTGTGAAGATGGTAGAGGATCATCATTGAGGAATGCTTAGCACGGCGCAGGGTATCGTATTGATAATGATTTCCTTGGCAAAGGCTAAGAAATGCCTGCCTGGTATCAAAGAATTCACTCTCTAATATCTCATCTGTGTCTTTGGTATCAACAGGGACATCAGTAATTTCAACCTGCAGTTTTACCAAATTCAAAATTCAAATACTAAAGCTAAGTCCCTGAAGAACACATGAACAACATTACTAAGATAAAGAATCACTGACTGAATAAAATATGTGCTTCTCCTTTTGGTTGATAGGATGTCTCTCTCTGTCCTCGCGTTTTTGTTCAGATTCATAGCACCTGAAAGGGGAAAAATCATGAGAACAAAGGTATACATTTGGTGGACCAAAGAATCAAGAAATCCAGTTATTTAGTTGGTGAACTTGAGCACCATCGGTTTTGATCAGATCATTTTATTAGTTATTGCTTGTAATTCATAATTTTACACTATCTATCCATATAAAATTTAAACTACAAAGTTAGCATGATATGAAAATGAATAAATAACAGGGCAGAAGAGAACTCTGGAGCACCAGGCCAAAGACAGAAGTGATGCAGTCATGCAGCAATCTAATTCTATATGCATTAGTAGTTGTCCGCTATGATCACTTGCTACACAGCCACTTACATCCTCATAATCATGGTCACTTCTCGTGTAAGTAATTTTAAATCAATTAGAACAAAATGGTAAAAATCCAAGGCCACATGAACAGACACGTTAACCTTATAAAATTCCCAACCCAAAGTTGGCAAAGTGAATAGAAGTACATAGCATCACATCACAATGCAGGAAAGGATGTTGAGTTACAGACACTACGAAATATTAATGTTGAAATACTTCTAAATGAGGAGGGCTTACTGAAGTATATTAGCTAAAACTGAAGCCAAAAGGAGGATTTGCATCTTGAGGTAAGAGTATGCCAAAAGTTATATAGTATCAAATGAATCAAAGATGCGAAGAGAACTGTTCAGAAAATATCTCAGGAAATGGAAAAGATAAATAGATATTTAACCCATATTAAGTATGCTAAAGATCAATTCAAAGACTGTGGTTCATGGAAATGAGATCATAGAAATACGCAGGACCTATTTGACAAATTATTTAATGGAAGGCCTAACATGGATCTTGGAGATTTGTCAAACTCTATTTGAGAAAAACATAACAGTACTACAAGGATTTGTATTTTTGGAAATAGGATATGAACAGTGACAGATTCATTTCGCAGATAAACTTCATTACAGTGCAACCACAACTTTCTTTCCCATCTTCACAATTACAATTCTAACCTATCGAGCTCTCTCCCTTCATATTCCTCTTTGCGTAGCATTTAAAGTGGCATAGGATCAATGACAAACAAACTTAATATCTCAAGGATACATGAAATAATAACTATTTACGCAACTATTTTCATTTTCAATCAAATTTTCATGTCAGTGAATAATAGACCCAGTAGGTTGAAGAGACAGAATCATCCACCTCCGCCCCCATAATGGGCCCCACTACCTGCACACAGAAAAGGGCACGTGGGCGGGCGCAAGGATTGTGTCTGTGGGATAGTACAAATATGAATTACATTTATTCCATAAATGTATATCTCCAGCATATGAAAGGAGGACAGACAGCTCCAAATCAGAAAATACAGGGAATAGAAGTTTTTGAAAAAATAAAAAGAAAGAAATTATTTTAATTAGATTACATAAAAAATCATGAAAATCCTTACTTGTCACAAAGATGAAAATTTTTACACTGTCTGCAAACCCAACGATTTCCAGACACCATTAAAATGCAGCAATGGTTACATGAATGCTGCAGGTGAACCATGATGAAATCCTCTTTCATTGGAGAAATCGTCTCACCAAGCTACAAAAGCAAAGAAGTTCATACGAACCAAATGAGAAAATGAAGGCAATTGCTTCTACTTCCAAAATTGGTAGAAGAGAATCGCTGACAGAGGAAAAAAAGGTTGGACAAAAAAAAAAATTGGTTACTCAAATTAGCAAAGAGAACAAAGAAACAGCATTAGAAAAAGAAAGAGAAACTAAACTGTTGGAAGTAAATAGAAAATAAACATGTTCAAGAACTTACCATGTCCTGTTTCGGCATAATAACTATTTGTAATTCACAAGTGTTCAAAATAAACTTATTAATAGAGGAATTCAGACGTAGGGAAAGAAAGTAAGAGAGAGAGAGAGAGAGAGAGAGAGAATTTTGATAATAAGATTACTTTATGCATTAAAAGCAGGTCCTTTGACGCATTGCCCGAAAGATCAATTTGGCCTGATGCCTTTAAGGCTCTCTTCGTAATGGTCTTTTTTATAGTTCCCTTCTTATACTGTTTTCTCCCATCCTCTTCTTGCTGTAGTTGATATATCATGTCCTCTGCAGCACCAGGCCAATAATCTCCATCAAAGTACGGCAACCGAGCTGCAGTCACCTTTGCTTTACATTCACCAGTAGAGACAAAGAAATGGTCGTATAGATTAGCAAGATCAACTACAATATTTTCCTTTGAAGCTTTTCTTAACATTGACAAGTACCTGAATTAGAAAATACAATCCAAGTCAACCAAAAACAACTGAGAGTAGCACCAATATTTATATATTTATATACAGTCTCATTTCAGACAGGTATGTATCTTACCACTCCCTAAGCTTATCAGATTTTGGTGTTTTTTGAATTTCTGGGTGGCAATATAAAATGTAGTCTTCACCCTTCAATGGAGGGCAGGCCCATATGTAGCAGCTTGTGAAACCACGCAATTTGCAATACTCTAAATATCCAATCTGGAAAGAAACTAGAAATATCATTAGGATATTGACATGGTGAAACGCTGACAAATCATTTTTTTACCTAAAAGAATATGCTAAAAGAATGGTGTAAGAGCCAACAAATCAAAAACTTGCCAAAATTTCATGGTACACAAATGTCCGAAGAGCCTCTCCTGTCACCGTCTTGACCTCTGGCCGGAAATACTTAACAGAATCTAGATATGAGAGATATACTCGGCGATGATTTGGCTGCTGACATTCTGATCCAAATTCTTGAACATACATGCCAAATAAGCATACTTCAACACCTTCAGTTTTTTGAAATAATAGTACAACCTGGAAGATGAAACTTTTGGTTCATAACTCAATTAATTGACAGTCAAAGTAATAATCATAATCTTACGAAAAATTAGTTTTCATGTCGAATTAATGCAAGGAAGTATTTCAATTTGAATTATTCCTGAAGCACGACCACAAAATGGCGCATCTGCGGCATGTGGCGCCCTTATTTCATTTATCATATTAGCTCAAATCCAAAAAAACTGTGGAATGGACAAAAGAACAGATTTTTGAGGCTTTCAGCCGAAAAAAATATGGGATGGGTGGGAGATGGGAATTGAGATGGCATTTATTAGTCACACGAAATATAATGTAACACCTTAGATTTATATGGGAACTCTGTTGGATAATTCTCCTCTTGAAATATTTCAAGAAACCGTGGTTTGACTTCCAACTTTTTGTCCACTGATGACACAACTCTTACAACAAGTGCTTCTGCTCCTGGAACCTGGCAAATTCAATATAACAATATTTACTTAAATAATTTTAAAAGAAATGAAATAGAAGTACTGTTTAGTATAAAAGCACATTCTGCTCTTTAGTTAAGGTTGCCAAAATTACAACTGCATCTTGTTACTTGTTAGATCTGAAAGATTCTTTCTGGAACAGTTAATGTACAAGATCCATTATCTATTTTCGGTGTAGCATGGAAGTTTGAGTAATGGTAAAAATATCATTTATAAATGTTGATCCAACTCCTTAAAACATCACTATAGTAGGATAATAAGAAATCAAAACACGCAAGGCTGTCTCATTAAGTAAACCATCGTATCATATCATTACAAAATAAAACATCAGCTACTGTTCCATATAACATGGCAAGTCAACTGAATCACCTCATCAAAACTTTTCCCAAGAAGTCTAGCTCTGTCCTGTCTCTCTTGCTTCAGCCGTCTAAACAATCGTTGCTCAATGTGATCACTCAAAATTGTTCTTGGCAAATCTTTTGCTCCAAGAACAGAATTTTGCGGTAATGGCATGCGTTCTCCTCTTTTAACTTCTGCTACATAACAATTTGGACAGGTGTAATCAGCTTGTCCACCATCATTCCTTCGGCCATTAAATAATGCACATATTTGATGTTGCCACGCTTCACAGTTATCACATTGAACCCACTGCACAAACAGATAGTTAATATCTTAAATGATCATATTATGAGCAAAAGAATAGTACTTGCTGTATTTGACATACCCATTCCTCAGTTTCCTCGTCATTTTTCTTCTTCTCCATCTTCGCCTTTTGAATGGAAGGTCCATCTACAGCAATGGTGTCCCCACGAGCCTCATTATAACATGGAATGCAGAAGCAATGACGAGTATCACCGGCTCCATTGGTATAATACATTGCATTTCTTTTAATGCGAGCACCACAAGGTGTGCAATATATAGGTGGTGGTTCAAAGGTAAGCTTCTCAACTGCACACAACTGACATGAATTTTCACTCATTGAATTCTTCATTGCTTGATTTTTTTCTGCTTTTGCTTTGCTCTGTAAAGAAAACATGAATTAGAATTTCATTGTCAAAGAATGGTGAATCACATTTATGCAGCACAACTACGATATTTCTAAAAACTCTTTTAAGAATGTTGGTGAAGAGAAAAACGACTGAGATCAGATCCATGACAATTTATTTACATCCCCCTCCCTTATACTTCTAGTTTACTAATGGATGAGTAGGGGTTCATCCAAATCCCCACCTAGGCACAGGTGGAGTATTGGTTAAAACAAAAATAAAAGAAAAAAGAACTGAGAATTATAATCAATTATTGTCAGCAGGAAACAGGTAGAGATAAATAACCATATATCCTAACAAACCACTAGGTTCAAAATCAATTCCAACTAGATCAACTAAACTTGTGTTATTCTGCGAAAGGAACATAACCAATCTTCCATCAACTGCATATTCCGTTGATCAATCCTACCATGACCAAGGATCATTTAAGTAACTTATTTTTATGTAAAAAGAGAATCAACCTTGATTAAGATAAAATATATGTATCAAGAATGAAGGGAGCAGATTTAATTCAGAAGCTGATCTTCCACTTCCTTCCCTCATCCCCAGCGGATAAAGATGAGCACAGTGAAACGTGGTGAAATCTAATAATGTGTTCAGCATATTATGTATGACAAATGTTATTTTAATAATCAGGGAAATACAACGAAGATGAGCACAGTGAAATATGGTAAAATTTAATAACATGTTCACTTGGGCATATAATGCGAGACCAATGTTATTTCACTAATCAGGGAAAATAATTACTTCCTGTTGTATTGATTAATTGTCCCTAATAATAGAAAATGTCCTTTTTTGGTAGTTACATACTAAATTTTTGGAAGAAAAGATACCCAATTCCTTCTCAGTCTTCTAACTTCTCCTTTCTTTGGTAGTCGCATACTAATTTATATTCTAAAACTGCAACAAACTTTCACGAGAAAGACCATCAACAGTTATGTCCAGCCAACATCCAGGAGAAGCTTTGTAAAGGTCATTTTAACAAATTGTGAAATGAAGAAATGCATCATGTTTGACAGCAATTTTATGATGCAGAATAATGAGATAATGAGAGCCCCATAAAAAAGGCAATCTATGTGGGTCAACAGGCAGACCTGGCCAACCCATTGTCTAAGGCCTGTAATGTGCTCCTGCACTTGTTCAGGGGTGAACAATTCTATCAGCGATACTCCCTTTACTTTTGGCTTCCCAGACTTGGATGAATTTTCAGAAGGTACTGATGTACTTTCCTGTTTAGCATGGTCCAGTTCCTTCTCAATCTTGATACCCTCCTGTTCACCAAATCCAGTAGGATTGTTTGAGATGATAGGAAATACATCCAGCCTTTGGTTGTAGGTATCATGCAAATTATCCTTTACCATCTCAATACTCTTAGTCTTAGAACTTAACTGTCCAACACTTACAGGAATTTCCGTCTTTACTCCTGTGTCATCGGATTCCATTGGCATGTGAGAAACATCATGTTGTGCATCGGAGAGGCGATCAGGTTCATTTACAGCAGGAATTGGTATAACCGAGCTTTCACTTTCAGACGGAATGGGTAAGGAGGTATTTTCAATCTTCAACCGTTTAACAGAAGGCTGTAAGTCTTCTGGAGTTTCAGTTATAACTGGACTAGTCTTGAGTGCCAACCCACCATCATTTTCAGCTGAATTATAGGATTTACGGTTTCCATTCGAAGTAAAATCAGAATCTGCAAATGCCTTTAGATGTAACTGCAGAAAATTCTTAACAGGAATGCAAACAGGACAACTTGCTTCCCTACAGATCCTATGGTGATTAATTAAAACCTTCGTACAGCAGCAACGAGGATACAAACATTCAAGTATATTGCATCTTTCTATATGACTCAACAATTTTTGAGCCGTAATGCAATTAGGATCTTGACAATTGCCTTCTGGAGCACGGCAAGTACGAGCATGTCGCAAATACAACAACCATCTTCGTTGGTTCTTGAATTGCTGTTCACGATTAAGGTTACTAGATCTACGTACAGTGCCAGTAGAATTGGGAGGATTTGGAGATTTAGTAGCATCAGATTGTCCAATCATAGATTCTTCTGAAGATAAATTATTCCTCTGAGCAATATCGTTCCCAGTTATTCTGTGGTGAAATTCACCATGCACATTTTGATTGTCTTGGGCTCTCCTTGATACGTGAGACACATCTTGAGACTTGGGATAACATTGATCTCGTGGTGCTGCATCCATATGGATGCCACCAGAAAGGATGTTAAAACCGTTTTGAGTGTTAGCAGCAGATTGCTGCAGATGCAACAGCTGTTGCATCTGATCTGAAGTTTGAGTACGAGATGAACACATATCTTGTTGGTAAGACAGATGTGAAGTACCTCCAGAATGGCCTTCCATAGCATTCTGTGGGAACTGATTCTCCAAATCAGAAAACTGGAATGTCTTAGAGACTTGCAAGTGCAGACCGATCTTTCCTTCAACGCCTACACTACACGATGGCTGAGACTGTCCTAATGTGTCATTCGTTAAAAGCTGGTGATGCTGAATTTTCTGCTTTTGCTGGAGATGATGTTGACCAAATTTCTGCTGCTGAAAATGGTGAGATGGTTGTTGATATTGTTGTTGATGAGATTGTACAAGAATTTCTCTAGCTGAATGCTGCGATTGGAAGTTCATCTTGTCAGATTGATCAAATGATTGCGTCTTCATACTTGCGTGTAGAGTAGATTGCATATTCGAACGATTGATAATCAAATGAGAGTTTGTTTTGGGGATGGACTGCAAGGATACAGCAGTCGAGCTCTGACTGTTCATCACTGACCCAACAGAGGTTACAGGAGAAAGTATATTACCAGACCCTGAAGCCTCAGCTTTTCCAATTCCATATCTATCACCTATAAAGTGGGTTATTTGCAGTGAGAACACAAGTAGAAGGAAATAGAGATATCACATTCTTCATATTTCCCAAAATACAACATAACTGTTTGGAACAAATTTGGAGAGAGTCAGATATAGTAAGAGAGGAGAGAGAGGAGGGAGATGAAAGTTTAAGTACCCTGCATTGCTGACTGTTGATGTTGATCGAAATGTTGTTGCAAGGGTTTGGGGGAGTTGCCATATATTGTTCCTGTTAAATATCCCTCAGAAGCGGCTGGACCATTCATCACAGACATATTGTTTCCCATCATCCCCAACTCCCCATCTAAGGGCCCGTTTGTTGGAACATATGATTTTTGCTGCAATGTAGACCTAAGTCCACCCATGTGGCCACCGATATTATGCAGAATACGACTATTTTGACCACCAACTCGCTGCATTTGCAACATTGGCTGTGATAAATTAGTGGATTCAAAAGCTGGAAATGCAACCATATTATTAGAGGACTCCATTTTTATCAGAGACTGATTATTAGCATTACTATTTATATCATTGTTATCTGAACTAGAAAATCCAGGAGTGGGAATCATTTGGCTTGTCATTCTCTGAACACTCAAAGATGTCGTAGTGTTATTGCCAACAGAGTTAACTGAACCCCCCAATGATGATGGTTGGTATCCATTAGCTAAAGCACCTGCAGAGAAATATCTTGTGAGAGAGAAGTGAAAAAGGTAAGTATATAGCTTTAGTCATTACCATAGATCAAGAGACTTTAACTACCATTAGAAGAACTAAAAGAACCACCGGACACACTCCCAAAAGGTCCATTTCCAGTTGGCAACAAGTTTCCAGAATTGACAGTGGAATATGCAATTGTTTTAGAACTACTGTTACCAACAACAGAGCTATCCACAGATGAGATTCTTATCAGGCTTGAATTACCAGTTTGGGGTAATCCAGGAGTTGGAATCATTGTACCCATGGAAGACGGTGTATTAACTTGTGAAAATTGCTGGTTGTGATTAGTAGTTGATGGTCCTTTAATAACAAATTGCAAACGTCTTTCCAAGGTTGCAAGGTTTAGATACTCCTCCTGATAAAGCAAGAAAAGTAGGGAGATAAGATACGGACATAATTACATGGTAGCCAATCAATAACTTCACTAATATAAGAAGCTCCATAATATGCTTTTTTTAAAAACAACAATAGAAGTTCCTTGTCAGCTATTACCAGAAAGAATATAGCTCATGTAGAATGTTATGCAGTGTCTATTTATCTTTGATACGAGATATTATACTTTTTATCTTGGGATCATGTTCATCAAACTTTACGCAACATGATAGTAAGAAAATTGTATGAAGAAACAAAATAGAACTACACAAACCTTGGACATGGCAATCCTGAATATACCCTCTTCTAAGCGCCTTGCTAGGTCCAAAATATTTTTACTGGTTAACTCATGAGATTGTTGCCTCCGCTGCATGAGATATTCAATTCTGGAGAAAAGGAAATTCAGAATTTTCATCAGTACATATTATATCTGATCCCAATCAGGAGCACTGACAAAAGTAATTTTGTATAATTAAAACAAAACTACAAATGGAATTAGAAGAACATGGGCTTAACAAAAATGTTCATCAAGACCAGAATAGAAGAGGAAGAATGGCATACATACATATAGAAAAATATTAAAACACGATGCTAAAAAAAGGCAGTAAAACCCATATGAAAATTATTCAATCTCCTGGGAAGTGTACTTTTTAGTCCAATTCAAAAGACAAAATGTAACTAGCAATTGCCATGTAAGTAACGACCCAGTTACCTTGAGATTGATGTATGTGAAAATCATAATTATAAGAGAATCCTTTGACATCCAACAAAAGATCATAAAATTGTACAAATTAAATAAATTTGCTATAAAAGAGAAAGGATAATGACACTTTTCTAAGAATACAAATTTCTTATTGAGAGATTATTTAGTTTCTATAATTAGCCACCACAATGAAGTAAAGACGCTGACTGGTTTTCCTCATTCCAGCTCACTATTAGGGAGACATAATATGGTTTTATACAACACAACATAAAAATGAAGTCGACCAACTTTCCTTATTACAGTTCACAAGCCATTGTACAAAAGGTAAAGATAAACATGTCAAAACTACCCATGTATCATGATAAAGGTGATTGACCACACTTAGCCCCTGTTTGGTGGCCATTTTTTTCGAAAAACATTGTTTTAATAATGAATATTTGGAGAATGTTAGGTTAAAAAGAAGGGAAAAGTTTTGAGTTTACGTGTAAAATATTTTATTGTGTGAATGCGTAGTTGAAAATAAGTATATAGAAAAAAGAGTTTTGAATAATGGGAGACAAATAGGGGCTTACAGCTAGGTCAAGAAGCGAATTTTGTTTCACAGTAAATTGGTGATTTTCTTGAGAAAAGAAGAGAGCTTAACTAACGATAAATTTCCAATCTCTGAGAAGCTATTCAGGACTTCAATGTTACAAGTTAGACACCACCTACCTACTTAAAAAACATTGATTTAGAAAGTTGTATTATTGTTTCATTCTCATAGAGCTTGTTTGGGAGAGATTTTTTGAAAATTATTTTCCCCAAAATCATTTTCAATCACACATTCTATGGAACTCATAAGTTTTTCCTACTTTTAGCCACACATTCTCAAAAAAACATTGTTCACTTGGAAAAATCTCTCCCACACAAGCTCTTAATCTGAATCGTGAAAGAATTGATTATCATTTGTAAAAGAGAATTACTAAAAGGAGCAGATCAATGGTTCCAAATAATCAAGCCAATAAATTATAGTGAATCTATGTTAACGTATATGGAACCTTTTTAGGAGCAGACCACAAATCCAACACATTAGACTTCAATAAGGGCCAAAACTACAAAGCATGTAGTAATATCTATCAATCTTATTAACCACCGCTATCGTCCAATCCATCAAAAGAAATTAATCAGTAGGAACAACAGTAAAAAGAACATCTCTGATTGACATAGATAAGAAAGAGTATTACATCTTTTCTGTCATAAACCTCCGTGCTTCAATATATTCAGGGTCCATGTTCTGCACACGACGATGCATACTAGGATTTTGCATCTGACTAGGCAGAGTAATATTTTGCTGGGGTATCCCATTCAACAAAGTACCAGCTTGGTTAAGTGCCTGTTCTGAGATCTGGTCTGAAGGGTGTGCTTGCAAATTCATCTTCACCTTGTAACTTAATAAGTAAATAATAAGAATAATCAGAGTTTCACTATCTAGAGAACAAAAACATAGTAAAGTAGTTGGAATGAGGCATCATAATCAGTCATGTCCCATCATAACAACACCCACGTTGTCTAAACTAGCCAGAACACCTGCACTGAAATTAAAAAAGAGAATAAAAAAACGAAAGATCAGTTTAACAGATACAATGTGAAAATATCACAAAGTTAACGTGTGAATGAGTCCTGAGCCAACAGATAAACATTCAGGAAAGATATATGTCTCTAAAAAAAATGATGAATAGCTGATGATAATGACGTCTCTGCAGGGGCCAGCTGGTGACTTATTTGGGGGTAATGCTTGGTGGGAAAGAAGGTTGAGAAGGATGGGAAGAAAGGACAGTGGGTTGCACCAGTGTTTTACTGTATGTTCTGCGGAGAAGGTAAACAGATGAAGAGGAGGTTGCAGTTCGGGGGTTTGAATAAAAAGATTATGTTTTCTTTTCTGGTCGAAAGAAGGAATATTAGGGATAAACAATGTCATTTTCACAAGGGTTATCTTTGGAAATTAGGGTGAAGGAAGTAATGAGGAAGTGGACAGTTTTATGGTACAACCCAAAACGGGAGATGCCCAATCATTATGAAACAGAGACTAATGCCTATTACCTACTTATTTTGTGAATTTGGTACACTTAAAACAAAGTTAAACCGAAAAAACTATAAAATAATCACGGTCCATGGTGATCTTTTTCCCTAGAAATGTCCAACAAACCAGGAGCATAAATAAGATTAAAACTTGTTCTCATAATATCAAGAGGCAAAAAATGTTTTACTTGATCAGCCTCGAGGTTCCTATTTACTAAATGCCATTCGATTTATTCAATAAATACACCGCATTTACTTGTTAACTTTGACTTAAGGAATTTATTTTGTAGAAAGAGCAAGATAATATTTCATTTTACGTAGCTGCTCAGGTCCGAATCTGCTTTTTAGCAAACTAAGCAGCATTTAATGAATAACAAAAACAGACAAATTCAAAAGGAATAGAAAAATTGTCCACAAATCCAAATTTTCCTCCTACTCACATTTCAGCTTTAACTAAACAAGAAAATTAAATTCGAGGACTATCCATTTGGGATTTTCATGATCACAAGCATAAATTCACATACAGGCTCCAATTTCACGTGCACTCAAAATGATCAAGCTAAAAAACTACATCAGGATTTCATCGAGACAAACTTTGAGATGGGAGTCATCCGAATTGGGAAATGCTAGGGTTTCATCAAATTGGGGAAAAACAATTCAGGGCTTAATTCGATCAAGCTTAATCTATATTTTCAATTGAATCAGAATTAGATAACAATAAATAGTAAATTTAACAAAATTAAACTAAAAATATACTAACATACCGATAATCAAAACAATTGATGAAACTGAAAGCGCAATGAATAGGAATTAAACAAATTCGCCAACGAGCAGTGAGCTAATTCCAGCATTTGAGCTTCATCCAGCATCATGAATTAGGTTTTTTCGGAGAAAGATTATTTGCAGAATTTGGGCGCGATTTATTCTATAAATAATGAGTGTTTTTTTTTTTTTTGGGCACATAGATCACATGTATTATCTTATTTTATTATTTCCCCTATGTTACTATTTAATATGGTTCCTGTCAATTTGATCCCTCTGAAGGATAGTTTCTTTCATTTTGGCCCTGACAAGATAAGTAATTTCTCTGTTTTCTCCTCCAAAATATAGTGAATTATGGAATTTATGACTTCTTGCTCTGAAACACACTAATTTTCACTTGGTTTATTTTTGCATTTATGAGTTTTGAGTTGCGTTAAAAGAGTTAAATAAAATTTGGTTTATTTTTGCATTTATGAGTTTTAGAATAAAATTTTATTTGTTTTATATAGTATATTTTTAATATTTGACAAAAAAAATGAGGACTGAAATGAAATATGTTTTAAATTTCTATCTTACTTGAGCCAAATAATTATGTATCGANAATTCCTATTTTATTTGGACCAAATAATTATGTATCGATATAGTGATAAATGTTGAGTTTGATAATGATAATCTTTTTGTGATTTGAATAGAGTTTTGATTGCAATCTTAATTTGATAAAGGTTAAAAGCATAGTTATAAAACCCGGCCCGCCCCAGCCGATCGGGCCAGAAAATCGGCGGCCCAGACCCTTGACTGGGCCGGGCAGATTAATTTTATAGAAATGTACTTGACTCGATCAAAACTCGATTTTGATCGAGTTAACCGGCGTTTTGACCTAGTTAATTGGCGATTTACCCGGCTCGGTTGACCGGTTTGAATAAGTTTTAAAATTTTCTTACAAAATTTTTTAAGTCTTAAGGAAATTGAACATTGGACCTCTAAGAAAAAACAATAAATTACTCACCACTTGAACTAAAGTACTTTAGTGGCATATGTGTACAATAACTTATATCTATCTAATGAATCATTTATAACTTTTATAAAAATATTCTTTTAAAAATTTTTGGTCTAATCTTTTACATTATTTTATAGACCTAAATAATTAGTGAAAAATAAATTTAAAAAATTAATTTTGCCCCTAAAAATTTTTTTATACTTTATATTTTTTTGTAGGTTTTTATGCAATGACTTGCCGTTGAACCACCGGGTCGCCGGTTGAACCACTAACCCATTAACCTGCTGCATTTTTCGAGTCTATGTCCGGGTCGAGTCTGAGAACTATAGTTAAAAGTAATCATAATTCTATTATTTGAATTCAATTTTTATCCAATTTGATATACACAATTTTCCATCACAATAGTAACATGATTCAAGCACTATTTTTTTTTACTATAAATAGTGTGCAATTGTCTCACAATTCACCACCAAAGAATTTTACACGACAGCTTTCATATAAAGTACTGCAAATTGCAAATATATATAAATATAGTAATTTCCTTATACTTTATATTTAGTAATTTATACATGAATTGTTAGTGGACTTTTGGGTTCTTTATTAAGAAATCTTACGAGAATTTAAAATGATCTAAGATGGGTGTGTCACTTGGTCACCAATATACTTCATAAGAGAATAGTGGTATGAAGAGTTTATTTTATTGTTATATAATTGTGTATGGAAACTGCACGTATCTTACTGTATATTTTTAAATGCTCACTCTTACAAAATTTTATAAATTAGTTCGGGTCAATTTTACCCAAGAATAACTAACCAAGAGGAGGGTGAATTGATTTTTGAAACTTTTTCGACACTTAGTCTCAAAACAATTCGATACACAAGATATAAATGTAAAGTATGATACGAGAATTAAATTAGCAAGTTTGATAACTTAATTCAAATATGAATATAGCACAATATAAATAACAATGTAAAGTAAAATGCGATAATGTAAAGATAACAAACCGATTTAATGGGGTTCGATACACAATGTGTTCTACGTTCCCTTTACCAAACTCTCCGTTACGAGCAATGCCAAAACACTATAATGGTAACTTACAAACAAGGAGTATCAATCCTTAAGTGACTTACTGATAGGAATGTAAATTCACATTTTACATCTTTATTTAATTCGCTCATATGACTATTTTATGTCTAAATATACTTAATATTCTCATATTTGGTTTAGATGGCAATTCGATGGATATGGCGTAATTTGAAAGAAACAGGTGAAAATGGATCAAAGTGAAATGAAATGAAAGTTCAAGTGTAACGACCCGGTCTCTCACTAGAGCCATTAACTTACGTATTTTCCGCTTCGTAAGATGGGCATAGGTTCTCTCGAAGCGGATAGTACGTAAGATAACGGCTCTGGTGAGAGACCGGGTCGTTACAAAAAATGCACTTTTTTTTGTAACTACCCAAGTCTCTATACCCAATTTGTTAACTTACGTACTGTCCACTCTGGAATGGGCTTCTGCCCACTTATCCCCTCACAACTTTCTGACGGGTCCCCCAAGATTCGAACCCAAGACCTCCATCATATGTGAGACTTATGTTGAATCCTGGTACCAATTGAGAGAGTTACCCAATTGATACCAGGATTCAACTTAAGTATCCCATATGATGGAGGTCTTGGGTTCCAATCCCAGGGGACGTGCTAGAAAGCCATGAGGAGATAAATGGGCAGAAGCCTATCCCAAAACGAACAGTACATAAGATAACGGCTCCGGTGAGAGGCCAGGTCGTTACATCAAGGACTAGCGTACAAATACACAAA